AGCCAGTTGTTTCCAACGCTGATCGGCCGATCAGCGTTGGAAATTGATACAAAAATACCACTTTTCTTGAAAATGACAGTATACCAGGTGCCATAATTTTACAGGATGCTTTAGACTGTCATTTACCAACATCCTGTTAAGGTATTTCGCAAAAACTTGGTAGTTTTATTTTCGATGTTTGCAAATGTTGTATATTCCCTTTAAACATGATTCCTAGTTTAGGGTCCACGCCTAGAAAACACAAAATTCTACTTTCGGATGTTCTAGCCCTGTTCCATTGAGTGGGCGTAAGCACGCCTGGGGGTTTTGGTTACCCGAACGCCCCGGTAGCCACGCGCCTGTCTTTTACGGTTCAATTTAGATGTCACTTATTTTGGTTTTATTACCCGGTGATGTAGGGAAATACAGCGGAAGGAGGGGACACTGTCCCTCTTCATGACTGATAAAATCTTAAGCCTCCCTACGCTTGTTTGGTTTTTGTTCGCAGGGGGAGATGATGTCCATTTGACAGGACTCTCTTAAAATGCTCGTGAACCTGCGACGGAGCTTTGATAAATAGCCCCATGCCGTACCTGAGGGTTGTAGGGATGGTAATCAGGGTTACCGCAATACGTGCAGCAATGTATTGCTTGCTTGGGTGTCGTAATTGTAGGCTGCGATGTTACGACATGTCAAAACAAGCGGGGCAAATATGCATTTTTATCATTGGAGATATTTCCACAGGGTTTATTCATAAATGAATGGTTTAAGCGTACACAAAAGCTGCGGTCCTATAGGACCAACCGCCTTTTCTATCAATTCATTTTGGGTTGTGTTCCGTCTCGGTGTTGTTCACGGATACGTTCCCGGCAAGTGTGGGGTTAAATTATAGCTCCGTATCCAACCTTTGCTGAGGATTATTTCACTATTATGATTACCGTCTAGCAGTAGTTTACTGTCAATGCTATCGGCTTCAACGTCAAGAGTCACGCCTGAGCTAGTGATTGCGCCTCCCTGGCTCCAGTCTAAAAATTTCCTCATACAGACAAACAAATAAACCGTGGAGATACCCCCTTGTGTAAACGCCCCAGTGCCAGGCGCCGCCTCAAGTCTGCAGATCCGGCAAAGTTAATTTTTGTAATTGAAAAAATGCGACTTCTCGTGTGGGTTTAAGGCTCAGAGCGGATTAACTGTTGGGCTCGACCGCTGATGTAGTAATGTCCTTAACTGTTGCGACACAATTAGCAGTGGGGCTGACTTCATTCATAGCTACAAAGAATGTACTTGTCTCAGATATCATAGTACATCATAAGTAACATTTTTCCACCTTATTTTTCCCTGGTCTTGATTTCAGGCTAACTTTTTATTAGTCTTTGTGCTTTTAAAATCCTTTTGCGTGTTTTCGGTTCTAAATAAGATTGATCTGATATTGGTTTGAAGTCGTGTTTGTGTTTGTTTCATGGTATGAGTTGTGATTGTAGATGATTGGAAGCAGTCAAACCATCGTTCAATATCCCGGTTGTCTCGTTTTATCTGTATCAATTTTCCGTATTTACCTACCTCGGGCTCGGTTGTTATTATACAAACTCGATATAAACTGCACGAGCCATCTATAACGAGGAAGTTTGTCAGAGTTCGTGCAGTCAATCCATCAGAACACGAAGAAAGATGAGATCGTTAGTGGGATGAGTTGTTTGCATATTGCGGGCGTGGTGTGTGTTGAGCAGTTTTATACAGCGAAACCTAAAACCGTTTTCCATTTGATACCTGATGCAACTGCCGATTGGCATCATACTAGTGTATTTTGGTGTTGAATCAAGAGGTTTCGATTGGTTTTAAAAGCTCTCGTAAAAACCGAGGTCTTTGATGTGAAGTTTCGGTATCGGTTCCTTAATGACATGTAAGGGCGGCAATACATGGTCAATTATTAAAAAAATTAATTAAAAAAATGAAAAATAGAATCGAATCTTTGTTTTGATGCGAAGTTTGCGTAAAAAAAGGAGAAAGTTCTGAAAACTGTCGTTTAATGACATAACTGAGTCTCTCTGAGTGGGAACCTCTTTGCAACACTCACTCGAACCGTTACAAGACTTAATCGATCACTAAAACGCCGTCACTTCGATTCCGACGGAAGCACTTTTGTTCAAATGTATGGGTGTACATGCAGAAAGATCCGACCAAACACCTCCTAATGTCTGTCTGTGTCTGTGGTTCGACCGCAAAGCTGGGGCGCAGTGTCAAAGGGAAGACCTTTGCTCCAATCGCATTATTACTGCAATATGAAATCATAATCTGGTTTTAGAGTATTTAAGAAGCAGTTCGAGCTGACTTTACATCTGTAGTCATCTTCAGCAAGCGTGAGTGGGTGGATGGAGTACAAGGACCAAATCCTTCGATAGTGATTTGTCTTCTTGAGAAAGATCGTTATCACCTTATTTGGACACTGTGTCGATCTCCCTATCTCGCTCCTCTATCCCCTGCGCTGATAGACTATTTCGATGACAGGAGTCTCCCGGCATTAAGGCGCTGTCATGACTCAATCCCCCCCCCCTTCCCTCCATTATATTGCTTCCATGACGGCGAGATTGTCACACAGTGCAATTCCATCTGATTGCATTGCCAAGGCGAACGCGGACCTTATTTAGATTGCCAGTTCCTCTGTGTTATCTTGATAGGTTGTGCCTTCAGGGTTATCTGTCGTTATTACATGTACTAAAAACAAACTTACATCTCCCTTTTCATGATTTACTACGTAAATGAGCCCCCAAGTCGTGTGTTTAGCTTGAGAAGATTTAATCCAATATATACATTTTAATTTGTATTTAATTTGAATACTAATGCATACGATTTTTCTGGTTCTGTTTGAGATTGTTAAGCGAAATGGTTGTAGACACCTTGAATGCATATCACTCAAACCTCCAACTTAGCGATAAGGAATATTGACCACACACTCTTACGGCTGTCATTTATGTCAATAACACAAATGGGACCCCTGCAAATAGAAAGAATGGGGTCAGGCAGGAAAAGACTACTCTTGACGGAGCCCACGAGGACAGTACATGAAAAGAGTCGGTCAAACTACGCATCCCTTGGCACCTGTTTGCTTGCTATCTACCTACGATAGCAGACTAGTATTACCCGGATATGCCTATGATAAATCACATAAGAGTTGTATAGGTCCATAGAAAGCACAGTGCAATATCCTGTCGACGATTGGCGTAACCCGAGCACATAAGGTTCAGAATACCCAGACTGCTCCGTGGACGCAATTGTATCCAGAAATCGTTTTAATTACTAAGACGTGAGTTGCACAATGTCAACTGTGTCAACACATGCCGGCAAGAAATGTGTTTGCTTATGCGTATCAGCATAGATTTTGGTCCTCCACTCGAGTTGTTGGCTGGGTAATTTTGGTTTGGCATTTTTTTATTCCCTCTTGATAACCTTCTCCATCCCGGTGTTGGCATCCCATCGTGGAGAGAGCCAAGCACTTCCAACTTACAGGTCTGACAAAGATTTGCGCAAATACAACTTGATTAAAGATCGACGAACGGCTCAGTATTCGGGTTTAGCTGAACTTTTACGGCTCGAGATTGTGAATTTCGCACTTGATTGGAGATAGTTCGCTCACACTGGAGTACTTTACTGGATTTATTGGCCGTGTAAAAATAGCTCGAAATAATCCACTCTACACATTGATTTTGCGAGAAGATTGTTCCAGTTGTGTCAGTGGTCCATCATCAAATGATCGAGAGCTTTAGTTTCGCTGCAGAAAAAAATCTCTGAAATCGACAGTATAATTACGAAATTGTAATAGTATCCAATCTAATTATTCTTCTCTATATTCCGATATGCGCGAAATGTAGATAACGTTCGTTTCATTTTAAGAAGTTAAGCTTGCAGTTGAGCCTTGATGTATTTTTTTTAATTTCAAATTTCTTAAGGCAGTAACATAAATAATAACTTGTGATTTTCGAAGTACTTTATGCATTTGCAACTAAGTCATACCAAACCGGACTGCGTGTGTTCAAACGAACCCCTATTTGTAGATAGGAGACTTACCAGTATGGTGCGCCTGTACAAATCACTGGCACCCCGTCGTAAATAATACCTTCAGTAGGTATACCGTCACCATGAGAATCTTCTGACTGATTCACCCCAATTAGGCTAATCACACGGGCTGAGAAAACCACATTATAGATCACTCCACTAACGGGCTTTTCGTGCCGACCTGATATTGCAACCGGCTTATAACTATAATCTTGAGACTGGCCAAATTAACCCAGGTCTAATCTCAACTTGTATGAGATAAAGCAACTTGAAGAGTATACACCTGTCAAGAAGTCCAGTCGCAAACAAGAGTACTCTTTCGACTGAGGCTGCAAATTGCGCAGTGATTTATGAGTATCGCTGGGTGCGCGGGATGTTTTCCCACTGGAGATGATTAGTGCATTCCTGGCCAAATACAGAGGCAACAAAATGCGTTAAATTTCGGGTTGAAAAGAGGCAAAGGTCGGCCATTTGTAACCGAGACAGCTATTGCACGTGCTCGATAGAGCAAATACTAGTAGCTCTCATTCATGTGTATGCACAGATCCTACCATCACTAAGGAAACACATTTGAAATTAACAGCTACATTTTTATCCGGCAAAAGAGTCTGATTTCCACTATCGTGTATTACCAAAGAGAAAATAAAGGGACGTGTCACGTGGTGTTTGTCTTAACACACAGTAATATAATAGTGCCAGTCAGTCGTGATATATGTCCTTGACTCTATACTGTTGCAATATTTGGCACAAAACAAAAAAGAGACTGTAAACTTATTAGACAAAGTCGGTTTATACAGAACATATCGAAAACAAACTTGTAAAAAGTGAAGCTCAATAGACAGCTATGAGGAAGGATGCCTCCATGTAGACACCAATCGATCTTCGTTCATCGGGAAGCCAGAGATCTACCTGTTGTACTTAAGTGTTGTTTTGACAGGACTGTTTTCTTTTCCTTTCTTTCCGTTCTGCAGTTGTGGTCATGTGTGCATCGGGAGACTCCATCCGCAAAATCATGCTAGCTGCCCACGAGCTGGGCATGACCAACGGGGAGTACGCCTTCTTCAACATCTTCCTCTTCGACAGCAAGTACTTCGGGGACGTCAGCTGGGAGCGTGGTGACAAGAATGACGCTGCTGCCAAGGAGGCTTACCGATCCCTGATGACCTTCACCTTGCGTAAGCCAGAGACGCCTCAGTTTAAAGCCTTCGCCACCCAGGTCAAGGAGCGGGCTTTGAAGCAGTACAACTTCAGCTTTGATGCACTTGGAGAAGAGGTAAAGATAATTCCCTTGAGAAAGCAATACCTTTCTGCCATTCCACACATACTCATCTCAAGCTTTCGATTCATAAATGGCCAAATTTCATGGATCTGGCTAAGCGAAGAATCTCCCAATTACTGCAGAAAGTGCTGCGCTTAACGGTCAGCGTGTGTGCATTCCCCGCGAGGTTCACGCAGACTTAAAAGCGTTAAGCACAAACATAATCATATTTTGGTAAGCTGTACCATGAACCTAGCGTTAGCCGAGCCTTTAATAAAGAATTTGAAAGGCATGGTTCTACATCATTAGTGGGTAGTATTCCACCAACGCCTAAAGCGCAAGGAATAAGTGTTAAACCTGCGTCAAAAAGAGTAAAAATATATATCCAGTTTCCGCTGCCGAAACAAAATCCATCTTGAATCATATATGTGTTTATCAGCCGAGATGGTAGGTTTTTTTCCCTGATTTAAGTGGGTTGTCACTGTACCTGGCAATTCAGTTACTGTTGTGTTATCTGTTTCAGTGGGTGGTTGTTTGCAGAAAAAAGTCAAAAATATTTTCCATTCTTTCATTACATGAACAACGAGAGACCGCTTTTCATTATGATCTTGTAAAAGCTGTAAATTAAAAGAAATAAATTTTTTTTTAACATACTCGGTGTTGCTTTAACAATAGTACGATATACAAAGAATACATTGTGTTGTTGGTATTTCTTGCACGGGGATAGCTACTGAAGTGTCCTTCCTTCGAACAAAATTTAATCGCCTGTGAAGAGCAACATGTTGCTGGTAGATTAGCTGTTCATTTTTCACCAAAAGCAAATTTCAACTTGCACAGGCAGTCACTCGAGCAGAAAGGCCTTGTAACGAACAGAACTAGTGGTATGAAAGTACATTCCAAGTTAATGACATTTCTAAAAACAAACTCTGAAATTGAATGCTTTACCATAATTGGTCACACGTCTGTAGTTTGCTGCAGGAAGACCTGATGGTTTTTCATTCAATAAGCGGGGATTACTTTCTCTCCTATTGAGTTCGTAATATTTTTGCTATTCTACAGTCTACACCCATGTCGCTGATAATTTATTAGCTTTTATTCATCAGCCACTTTTGTTGTGCTAATCCATGCCATTATTTTGTTTGGTGTATTTCCAGTAAAAATAAAATATTAATACCAATATGCACTTGCTTCTACGAGAACAGGAATACCTTTTTAAGGTTTAACTTATAAATTGTAACTGTTTTTATGTATTTTTTAGTTATGGTTATGCATAATACAATTTTTATACTTTCACTTGATTTTAAAAGGTTAGCTTACCCTGGTTTTTTCTTTATTAGTATTTCGTGTCTATTAAAAAGTAACTTATTTAACAGCATGGTTTGGGGCATACTCTAGTGCGAAGCAGAGCAGCTTATGTCCTTGGGCATTATGGGTAATACGCTTCAAACAAACGTGGATGAAGCAGATCACCCATTGGCTAAGTATGGGGTTTTTTTATGATGGAACGCACATAATTAATGCATTGCCATATTAAAATTTTAGCCGACAAGCGGCTTAACCGAGGGACAAGACAAGCCCGTGACAGGCGTCGGATTCCTCGCAAAGCTAAAGAAGAACGAGGATTTCGATTCCCATTGACGCTTAAGGCCGAAAGAATCTTCTTTGGTATGGTGAATGGCTTAAGGTGAAACTGGGTCGCATGTGGCATCGACAAGCTGATGTTGACCTACCCGTTGCTCAGCAGCTTCTTCAGTTATGTAAAGCGGCATGCCTTATTAGAGGCCCTGAATCTCCGTGACAAACCAAGAAGATGCCTTGCCCCAAGGGTGGGTAAATCTAGAAGGGATGTAGTGAAAGGTGGTACAGGTGGTGCGGCGCAACCGATTCCCAATCTGGATGTAGGGCCCACTTTCAGTCAGCGGTATTTGGGCTGGATTGGGACGGACAATGGTCCTGGCCTGGACGTGGATTCGATTTCCTCTTTCATATCGGCTCAAATATTCAGTTACAGGTCAAATAGTTTGGCATTTTTGAACCATCATATCAATCATGATGCAAAAGAACGATCGAAGCTGTCTCATGTAGGTCGACATTCTGTTGATCAAAAAAAAACTGAGAGCCGGGAACAGGTCATTCGGTTTCACTTAGACATCCGGGGCTTTATTTATATAGATATTCCACGGCCTGACGTTGGTCTAAATATCTTCATGTTCCTTCTAATTTGATTCTGTATACCCAGGCTTTTATTGCCATGCTGATATTTAATAATCTTTTCAAAACTCTGTGGAATAATTTGTTTCTATAAATTTTAATATATGTGAGCGCAGCAATGAATGTTTCATTCTTAAGAAGTCAAAACTCCATCATAGCTCAGGTTTAAATGACAGGTGCAATGTAATATTTTCAAAGCAGTTCTCGAAAATGCACCTTTGTGTCCCATTCAACCTTATATCAGTTTTTGTTTTGCCATTTTTGAAGGGTATTTTGGTGCCTTTTTGTTTATTTGCTGCTGCAAATTTACATATTCAACAGCAAATCGTGATGTCATTCCGGGCAGAATGTTACAGCTTTTTCAGCACAGAAAGTTGCTAGAATGTTGGGTACTTGCTGTCATAAATTTTCTTTTCTTTGGTGATTCGTTGATGTGTAAGTACATGGCAGTTAGCCAATGAGCAACCCTTTCTCACAAATGTTTTCAATTAGCAAATGTTGGGTTAACAATGAGAACAGAAAAACCCCTCAACCGAACAGTGTCTTCCTGAAATGACATCACAGCAACAGCGACATCAGTTGTCCGAAAAAGCATTGACATTTTGAAATGTTTGAAGAAGTGCATTTCTCAATGAAATTAACCAAAAAGGGATGTCAGATAGTTTCCAAACTAGATAATTCCACAAAATGTGATCCTAAGAAAATAGGCACCATATGGGCCATTTAGTTACAAAGATACTGTAATTTGTGGTTTAGACTTGGTTGGGTTAGGGAAATGACTGTGTACTTATAATTTGTTTCAAATTCCTACATTTAATAAGTATCAAAATAATGTCAAAATAATGATGAATCAAACATTGAATTCCTTTTTATATATTGATTGCATCAAACACGCCAGTTCCTAAATTTGCTCTTATATTTCTGAGATATTTATACGTGTATATGAAATGTATAACAATGATGTTTATGTCACAGATTGAGAGGTTTCTTAATGTAATTACCTCAAAATCAATGCAAAGTGACTCTTCAAAATTGATACTACTCCTTGGTACTACTCTTACAGTGGTCGTATTTAAATGAAGTTAAATGGAAGCGCACGACAAATATAGCAGCTCATTGAAGGAGGGACACTAAATTAAACGCATAATTGGGTTGAATTTATTTAAAGGGCTCATGCGATGTAATTGTTTTAATGATATCCTTGAAATGCACCTTTGTGTCCCATTTAACCTAATTTTCAATTTCTGTTTTGCCGCTTTGAAGGGTATTTTGGTGCCTTTTTGGTTTTTATGCTAATGCCAATTTCCATATTCATCACCAAAACTGTGATGTCATTCCAGGCCAAACCTCAATGTAACTGCTATTTCAGCACACAAAAAAGTTGCTAGAATGTTGGATATTTTGCTGTCGTATTTTTTTCTTAGGTGATTCGTTGTTGTGTAAGTACATGGCAGTAAGCCAATGAACAACCCTTTCTCACAAATGTTTTCAATGAGCAAATTTTTGGTTCACAGAAAACCCCTAAACTGAACAGTGTCTTTCTGAAATGACATTGTACGAACAGCGTCCTCAATTGTCCGGAAAAGCATGGACAATTTTAAATGTTCGAAGAAGACTTTTCAATGAAATTAACCAAAAAGAGAAGTCAAAAAGTTTTCATACATTTAAGAGAAGTAGAAAGTTGCACAAAATGTGTTCCTAAGAACAATATCGCGTGCACCCTTTATTGGTAAAAAAAAAAAAAAAAAAAAGTTGAAGAGATGAAACACACCTGAAGTTGTATGCATTTAATATTTTTCCCTGTAAAAAGTTAAAGTACATTAGACATTTAAATGCCAAGAAACCCATCCATGGTGTGTTTATGATCACAGACAGTCTATGGCTTCATCATGAGAATCAGACATTGCAAAATTTGCAGAATGCGTTCCCCCGAGCACACGTACATAGTTCGATTAGCTTTTACTGCCTCCGAGTTGCGGAAGTCTCGATGTTGATGTCAAAATCAATCGGTTTTAAAGCTGTGGCCTTTTTCAGTAAATTTACAAAGTTAACCATTGCCAAAATACGTGTCGACTTTTGCTGTCCTTTTGCTTAACATTCCGTATATAATGCCTCTTATTTAATCTCTAAAGTGTTTCGTCATTTCTGCACATGGAATGATTTCAGATGCCCATTTATTATCAAAGGTTGCGTTGTTTTGCCAGATTATTCTCCAGCCGTGTCCTTGCAAAACATCCAAAGCTGGTCATATATAGGACGTGACCTAATGGTTTATGCAGTGTTCAGTTGAGGGAGAAGTTGACAAGCTTCTTCCCAATGTTAGGACTTCACATTTCCAGGACACAAACTTCCGAGGAAAGGCGATGACGGCTCCAGCTGCTGGCTTATCAGTTCCAAGTGGCCAGTTGACCATGGCAAACTCGGAGATCGAATGGTAAGACGTCTGGACTGGAAAGCGGAAGGTCGTTGGTTCGAGACCCATCCGAATTAGCGATGGTCTTTATTTATGTCCACTTTTTAATAACATTTGTTTTGTCGCTTCATTAAAGAAACGATCGAGCGGGCTCTTTTATAACACCTATTAAGCAAGCGATATTTGTTTTGCATGCGCGGCTTCGTTTTTGTTTCAAACAGTGGACGTTTTAACATTATGCCTAATGGCGCCATTGGTACAATGAACACTGATGTTGTTTGCGCTCAACACAGTCTTGCCTCCAGTAAGGATTCTTCATGGTTGGTTGCCATGGTGACGGTAACCAGGCGCTTTCATGATTTCCCGCCGTTTGCCTTGTCGGCGCTCTCAG